CCCCCCCCCCCCCCAAAACAAAACAAAAGGTGGAAAACAGGTATTAAAGAGAGAGTCATTGATGACTATCAAGACTCAGAATATCATTAAAGCTGTCGTAGTCCCTTTTCGTGTTTTGATTCACTAGTTTCCAACGTTAAGCATCCACACAACTGTTAGTATCTAGCTGAATTCTGCCAACATATATTAACTTTCTAGAAGGGAGAATTAGATTGAGAGTGCTTTAACGTGATCTTCATTTCCTCCCTCTAAGCAAGATTGGTGATGTGATTATAATTTCTAGCAATCTTTTTCCATTAGTGACAGCGAACTTAGATTAACTAAGATATTGGTGATATCATCCACGGGTTTGACCAGTTCATGCTTTACTGCTGGATTTGTGATTTAGGTTCCATTTAGATAGATCGTTATAACAATTTGAAATATATACTCCACATCAGTTATCAAGATATACACTAAGCCCTACAAAGCAAACTATGAGATTCAGACTCATAAGTTTTAGCAACATATGAGAGATTGAGATCTAAATTCGTATGGGGAAAAAAATTAGTCAATGCTCTCTTGTATTTGAACATCGGAAGTCTTTCTTTTTGCTTTTTTTAGTGAGGCTAGGTATTAAAAGGATAGAGTAAACAAATAAATTCATCAAGTAATCTGGTATGTATTTGTAGATGTATATCATGAATACGGTGTGGGAAGCGTTTTTCTCGATTTGAATAATTATAAACCAATAAATTCATCAAGTAACCCCCAAGGATTCTAGATGGGAAGCTCAAGCACGTTCGAATCGCAATGAGGACGTTGACTATTTGTGCTTTAGTAGATTGAGAAAGTGTCTATGAACAAGTACCACATTGTAATAGAATCAAAAGTTTCCTAAAAAAATAGAATCAATAGTACTCAAAAAAAAGAAAATCGAACTTCAAAAGTGTAAAGAACCATTACAGGCTAAATCTAAGTAATATATATTAGAGTAAATTCCATAAATGATCCCTAAATACAGGTGGTTTTCAATGTTTAGTCCCTAATTCTAAGATATTACATAAATGATCCTCAATTTTTGAAAACTATTCAATAAATAGTCCTTTAGGCCAAATATGACAATATGTTTTCCACATATTGTCCCTGAAGGACCGAATATTGAATAATTTTCAAAGATTGAGGACCATTTATGCAATATTTTAGAATTGGGGACCAAATATGGAAAATCAACTGTAATTAGGGACCATTTATGGCATTTACTCTATAGATTATGTGCTTTACTTTGTGGTCAGAATGTAGCACTGCTGGCCCTTTTCATTTTGTACTCCTCTGACTTTGTTTAGGTATTGGGGGAAAAAAATTCTTCTCCTTCTGCCAAGTCGCCAAATTTGTGCAGGGTTGACCCCCTTAATGTTTTCTTCTTCAGCATATACGTGATTGATTTGGGATCTGCACATGGCACATTTGTTGCAAATGAGAGGCTTACAAAGGACTCCCCTGTAGAACTTGAGGCTGGACAGTCTTTGAAGTTTGCTGCTTCAACAAGGACATATATTTTGAGAAAGAACAACTCTGCTCTCTTTCCGCCTCCTCCACAGCCCGAAGAAATCAATCTGCCCCCACCACCCGACCCGACAGACGAGGAAGCTGTTGTGGCCTACAACACATTTCTAAACCGTTTCGGGCTCACAAAACCGGGCACATCATCTAAAATTTCAAAATCATGTAGAGGCAAAAATGACAATTCACCCATGGGAAGAGCTGCCAAGAGAGTAAAGAGACCTAGAGTGGCGTTCAGGGACCAGGTTGGAGGAAAACTGGCTGAAATTGTTGGTGTCTCAGATGGAATGGATGTGGAAACCGAACCGGGGCCAGTAGGGGTCAAAGAAGGAAGTCTTGTTGGAAAATATGAATCTCTTGTGCAAATTACCGTTGTGCCCAAAGGGAAGGAGCAGTCTGCCCCCGCCGCAAAGGATTCAACTGCTTCCCATGCCGGCATCACGGAAAAGCTTCAACAAGTGTTGAACAAGGTTAAGAACCCCCCAAAAGGAGGAATATATGATGATCTCTACGGAGAATCCGTTTCTGGTAAAGTCGGATCCTCTTGGGCTTATTCGACTAATAGCGATCCAAAAGGGGAAGAATCCCACGCTTCGTCTACAAGCAGTAAAACTATCATCAACACAGAGGACGACGACACAGATGATTTGTTCGGCTAGGAGTAAGCATTTTCTTGAGTGCATTTCTTAGAATTCGCGCCGGGTAAAATTGAACTTTTGTTGTACCTTGCCACATTATTCTTCCACCCCGGCAGGCGTTGGCGATATGAACTTCAACCATCAGTCTGTGAAGAGGGAAGAAACAGGAAACAATGCCCGATTAATATGAGGTCAGGCTGTGTATTTCCCTCACAGGGGCACCATAATGTCATCTGCTTTGAGGGCTAAAAGGTAATTGTTCTTGGGGGACTCTTATATTACTTGTACCACCATGATAATGTGAAAAGTTTTTTTTGCTTTTATTTTTATTTTTAGTTTTTTTTTCCTCCCTCTTTTTTCGAACATTTGTGATTTGATAGTAATGTGCTGTGTCAAGGAAGAGGAAGTCTTTTTTTCTTGCTCATTTTCATGATTTTTTTCGAGTGAAACATTACCTCAAAAACCAGTTTCATTTTGGTACGGAGTAAAAGCTAAGGGGAAGAATGATTTGGACCTCAGCCTTCAACTCTATTTTTTGGTACACACTTTTGCTGTTTTGCAGTCCAAATAGACAAATTTTCTATCACCAATTAAATTAAAGTTTTGTTACACATTAGCAAAAAATATTTTGCAAGATATTTAAAAAAGTTAATTTATTTTATTAATATTTGTTTAAGTGATCAACAAATTCATCCAGTTTGACAAAAAAGTTCAAACTAGATAAAAAGTGAGACGGAGGGAATATATTTTATTTTAATAAAAAAAAACATAATTACATAATTTTTTGAAAATATTTTACGAGATAAATTTTAATAAGTCATTTTTATTTTAATATGTAATAAAAGTATAATTATATTTAATTGATTATTAAAATTTGTTTAGTTTAGTTGTTAAAGTTAAATTAAGTGAACTTCTCCCATCGCTTGAGTGGTAGGAAGTTCATTTACTAGGATTCATGAGGAAGTTCACCTAAATTTGAGTACCAATGGAGGCAAAGGTGTTGATTTGTTGTACGTCATTATATTGGGAAATGTATGAACAGATACTACATTCTAATACAGTCAATAACATTAAAAAAATTAAATTAAGCAAATGCATTGTAACAGGGAATATATGTATATGAGAGAGGATAATCTTGCACCAATTTAATTGGAGCTTCGATGTTGCTCTAATCGTAAAATTGATTTTTCCTTCTCTCATAATCTCCAGCCCGACCATTCCCTAACGCACTCCTGCACCCTCCCCCCTCCACCTTCAATTGGTAAGGAGTATAAGATTACCCTTAATATATATTTATGTATTTTGTGCATATATTTCTTCATTTCCACTCTCTTTTGGTGATACACGATCTTGACTTTCATGTACAGAACATTTTTTCCCCAACCAAAAAGCCCATTACATTGTACGGTACATCGATGTTCTCTTCATCTGATTTGAATTATTTTGATCTGATTGGAATAAGTTTTGATCTGATATGAATGTAGTTATATTTAAAGTTTTTTCAGATCTGATCTGATCTAATCAAATTTGATTTGATTAGAACTGATTCCAATAAGAAAAGTAATAAGTAATAAGAACAAGTTGAGGAGAGCATGCCTACATTTTCTCATAAAATGTTGTAATTTTTTAAAATTTCTCAAAAAAAAAACTTTACATTTATTTTATTTTCTATTTTAGTACTTAGTAATAGAAATGTGACCCACAATATTTCTTTCTCATCTAAACAAATTTTAACTATACACTTTTTTCCTTTTCATAAAGTGTCTTATGGAACGGAAAAGAAGCATGCCATATTTTGTTGACATAAGGCAGACTATACTCTTTAGTTAACGTTTAAGTGGGCAATTTATACTACTTTCATCTCTAACTATTTCTCCAGTTTTAACTTTTTTTACAACCAATCATTTTTAACATTTGATCCATAATTAAATAAAATATATATTATACATTAATTAGATAAAATAATGTTTTAAAAAGTTTTATAAAATGAATCTAATAAAACTATTTTTATAACAATATCTAATATTACTTTAATTTAGTTTTCGGCAAAAATTTGCCAATTTTGACCCAAAAAGGTCAATAATGAACAATATTCAGGGAAGGGGACTATTACAGAGTAAAATAAACTTCGATCTACATGGTACAATGAACCCTAATATGCATAAATAACCTTAACACATCCATTGCTAAAAAAAGTTCACAATTTCTAAAGCCTTAACAAATTCTTGTGAACTTTGGTTACAAGCCTGCAGGTGAGAGATAGTCTGGTATTAGTCCGTCGGATAACAACCGTGTCACCGGTAGCACCCTCTCCACCACCCGCTTGCTGCCCGTAGTTACCCAAAGGACCGTCGCCATCTCTAGCACCATTTTTGGTCACATTCACAGCCGTGCTACATTGGTGCACGGCACTGTCTTTAATGCCGTGCAAGTATTCAGAGTACGCCTTGTCCATGAAAATCAAAAGACTGCGGGGGCTCAGCAAAACGGAAAAAGAAGAAGGAGAAGTTGTGTCCGTGCTGTGTTTCAGATTCGGGTGCGGGTCGAAATCCATCACAACGGGTGACCCGAGGGAGAGAATGGATACGAGCGGGTAATAAGCAGGTCCATCCTGGTGTGGCATTATGCCTTGATCAGGGAGGTATTCGTTGATGAGGACATGATTAATGGCAGAAGGAAACAGGCCTCCGGATTCGTCTTGGATCCTCCGAGTGATTCGGGTGAGCCAAGGAGGCAAGTCTTGGGCTATAAGCCCCTTCTCATGTACGACGCCTCCCCAGTTCTGTAGCCTCCTGTTTTGTAACGACTTCCATTTGGAAACGGGAGCTCCATAAATGTTCTTCACAAGCTGTTCTTCTTCCATGTATGAAATGAAGTTGGGAACGTAAATTAGGGTAGGCACTGGCCCAACTATGAACTTGTCTAGAACCCGCGTTGCTTCGTTCGTTTCCATGCTCTCTTGAACCCTGCAACCAATAAGAGTGGGGTCAACAGTTATGACCAAGATGTTGCGTTACAGAGGCAATAAACAAAAACGATAGGGTCCAGACCTTCGAGTCTCCGACATGAGCTAGTTCATTATTCCTAGCAATAAACCATAAAAAAATATAATGATACTTTTGCTACGTAGAACTTCTCCCATGGCTTGAGTGTACGAAGCCCACTCCCCAAGATTCATGGAGAACGTTCACTCAGGTTCAAACCCCAACAGAGGCGGAGGCATCGACTCTATGTGCATCATTTGGTTGAGAAAAGTAAGAACATACACTATATTGTAATCGACTAATCTAGCTTTTATATTTCGAAAGTAATCTATGATCACATCATCATTACTGAGCAATCGTTCAACCATTGATCACATAATTTACTCCGCGGCTCATTCTTCACCATATGTAACCATTTCCATTGGGAGATCAAAAATACCCTTCAAACTAACGAATCTACCGTATAAGCAAACAACCAAAACATGGTTCTTATAACGTTGATTTTCTAGAGTCACAAGTTCTACACATTGAACATTCTTTTGGGGAAAAAATCATCCATTTTAAGACAAGCTCGACAGTCCTAATTGGGTGTTTTTTGAAACATCTTTGCATTGTAAATTCTAATTTAAAATATTAATATGAATTACATAAGTAGTTCATAACAAATTAAGAAATTAATATTAACTTAAGAAGTTATGAATTGCCTGTAGTAAATCAATTTAAAGTAGATAAAATTAATGATCAATTGAATTCGTAAAAACTAACAAAACATTAAAAGAAAATCACACACTTATTATTAATATTCAAAACTAATTATAATTACTTTTACTTACCTGTTCGATTCGAGATTTGGGGAGGAGAATGGAAGGAGTTGGAAGCGACCCAGAGATGGCGGCGCGGCGGTGGAGTCTGGCGGGCGGCGGTGGCGATCAGACTAGGGTTTTGCACTCTCTGTTCTTTCTTCTATTCGTTCCGATTTGTTCTCTCTCTCTCTCTCTCGCCATTTCTCGTCGGTTCGCGCAGTGAAGGATCTGGGGGCAGTGGGTTCTTCTTCACTTGTTCTTTCAACTGCGAGTATTCATTGAAGAGGAGATCCGTTTCCCGCACCGTATCTTTAACCAGAATTTTCTCGTCTTTGAAAATGGCTGAGGAATGAAGAAAAGGCTATCCAGTAATTATTCCTGCCATAGCCATCGATAACAAAATTTGAAGCTTGGATATCACTCAATCAAACTCATTCTTCAACCAACCAACCTTTTCATCTATCCGGTACATCTTTATCAAGTTGCAAATCTGGCCTAGAAAGAGCATTGATGCAACTCTTTTAAAAGTTTAGGGACCAATTTTTAAAATTCAATAAGAATCCATATAATTTTTGAAGAACTCAAGGATAAATAGCTAAAAAAGTTCAATCTTATGTTGCACTAATTGGAAAAATGATATAGAGCACGAAATATTATTTTTGAGAAATTTATCTAAATAGGACTAAAAAATAATGATTTTCTCAATATATGACCATATGTTTTTATTTCCCAATGTAGGACCTTTGGTCATTATAAAATAGTCATTATTCAAGTAAATGCACATCATTACGGGACATTATTTTTCTCACTAGGTCATTATTAAGTCCTATTTAGGAAATAAAAAAGTTTAAGTCCTACATTGGAAAAGTCATTATGTTTTAGTCCTATTTAGTGCAAATTTCACTATTTTAATTTACAATTTTTAGTTCGAACAAAGTTTCTTTTCATTTTAGATTGTACAGAATTTTGGTTTGAACAAAGTTGTGTTTTTTTCTTATACATGGCTGTGCTTTTATTTCAATATTTGAATTATGAATGTTTGCTTTTTTTAGTATTGTTTTAGCATAATGTAATTGTATCATTTTGTCTCAAAGTAAAATGATCGTACTCCGTATGATCATATGCATCCCATTGAGCATGCATGGACGGGAGAATCAGTGGACATGGGCGGAGTTCGCAAGAATGGAGGTCGGCAAGAGACCCAATCCGAGTTGAAGGAGCTACTTCAGGAAGTCGAACAGACAAGTCGAAAGCACCGGACAAGGTGTTCTAAAATGCAATGTGGATGCGAGTTTCAACATGTAAACAAAGTTGTCGTGGGTTGGAATGGTTGTTCGTGATACACAGGGGAACTTTATATGTGGAGCTCGTGTTGGGTTAGGGTGTGTTGAAGATGCACGAGTGGCCGAAGCAACAACCCTTCGGGAGGCATTTGAATGGTTGAAAACTTTGTTCGGTGAGAGCATTCTCATTGTGGAGATGGGTAGTGAGGTGGTGTACAAGGCAATCCAAGAAGATGGGAGAAAATTACTCTTATTTTTTGTTTGTTATTTATAGTTATAAGATAATGATGTGAAACTTTCACTCTCTCACATTATCAATTGTTAGAAAATCAGCGAATCAAGTGGCTCATATGTTGACACAAATGTCTGATTCTAAAGCATTGTACTCTGTTTTACATTGATATTAATCCATTGGTTTTTTTAAAGATCGTACTTCGTATTATATTAAAAAGGCAATCTTTGATAAATTTTGATAGTATCACGCACCGTGCACACCCAGAAGGGAAGATAGTGTTGGGCCCTCTAACATTTTTCAAAAGTTAAGGGGGTTCAATATATTTTTGAGGCAATTAAACCCCATATAAGCAAATGCACTAGTTGGGGTTAGGGGTGAACAATTTAACCGAACCGACCGATTAACTGAAACAATTTAACCGAAGCGACCGCAATTTTAAATTCGGTTTCAGTTTTCGGTTTTAATATAAAAAATATTCGGTTAATTCGGTTATCGGTTTCGGTTATCAGTTTCGGGCAATGTTAACCGAAACCGACCGAATAACCGAGCCCATATTATGTGTATTAATGATTAAACATATATAAGCCCAGACCAAATCTTTTAGTTACAGCCCACTTAAAAAAGCCCCATTTCCAGCCTTCTCCCAACCCGTCTCCCAAGTCCTCGGCACTCGATCGGCAGAAAGTCCCAAATCCCAACCCTGTTGTGTCGTTCTCTGGTTCTCGTCTTCTCGGTCCTCACCAATCGGCAATCACCATCTCCCATTCTCCCAGTTCCTGCGTTCTCAAACCGACGCCATTCACAACAAGATCTAATCGGCAATCACCATCTCCGTTCCAATCGGCAATCACCACTCACCAGGTTTGTTTTTTCTTTTTTGTTGCTAATTATTATCCTTTTAGATGCATTACTAGCCAAGGGCCATGGCCGACGATTACCACAGCTTGTTGCCGCATCATCCCCATTCACAAGCAGCAGCAGCAACAAATCCAAGGAGCTGTTAATATTATAGTCTTTGTTAGATGGTGATTGATTAAGTGTGTAATTTGAGCAAAAAAACCCAATTCCCAACACTCCCACTTTGGAGTAATTGAATAAAGTTTGTAATTTCAGCAAAAAATTTCTTTGTTCTCATTCAAATTTCTTTGTTAAATTAAGTGTTTTGACAATTGTTTGTTAAATTAAGTGTGTAATTTCTTTGTTAAATTAAGTGTGTTTTCAAATTTCTTTGTTAAACTAAGTGTGTAAATTAAATGTTTTTTTCAACTTTCTTTGTTAAATTAAGTGTGTAATTTTTGAGAAATGCTTCATATATGCAGTAGGCAGTAGGTTCATGGATTGAAAAATTCGGTTTTTTCAAACCGACCGAACCCGATCGGTTTTTACTCGGTTCGGTTTGTTCGATTCTTGCTTTTATTCGGTTCGGTTCGGTCGGTTATTATGAGTATTTTTAATTTTCGGTTTTTTCGGTTTTGGGCCGAAACCGACCGAACCGAACCGATGCTCACCCCTAGTTGGGGTTACACATGTCTCTAGGCTCTAACATTTCTTCTCATTTCTACAGTCGCCTTTCTCTACTGGCTCTCCACACATATACTGAAGCTCCTCTTGCCCTCTCTATTCACTCAAGATTTCTGAACCTAAGACTATAATCTCATATCTTTCCATTATCGGTAATCTTGTTCGCGATTATTTTTTATTTAGGGAAGAAAAGATTTTTCTTTTGGGTTTATTACCCCAAATAAAATCGCCAAAAGGGTTCCATTTCGTTCTTTCTCAGTTTAACGAGATTTAGTTTTTATGCCGTAATGTGTGTGCTCTGTTTTTATGTATTTTGCAGGGAAGGACGATGTCAGAAAAAGGAGGGAAAGGACCGGAGTTTAGTAATGGAGGAAAATCTGCTCTCAAATCTGGTAATTCAACCTTTCGTGTTCTTCTTTTTCTGCAATTAGGGTTTTGTATTTTGTGCATGTGTTTCTATGATTGCTGGTTTGTTCATTTTTTAAAATATGAACACAGTTTTTTTGTTGGGTTGTGATGGGTGTTTTGCTTGAAGAATGCATCATTTTGCATTTGTATGTTTCTGAGTAAAAATAAATCAATAAAGTCACGGATAATGCACCGGAATTATTATGTAATAAAATGTGAAGCAGTGGTTATAATTCGTAATATAATAAGAAGAGAGATGAATCAATATAATGCCATTTATAGAGATATTAAGGTATATATAGAGAGAGATCAAGAGGTAACCATTTGCAAGAAACCACCCCACGTCCATGGAGGACATGGGAACGTGGCCCATGATCTTGGAAGGAAGATCATGGGGAACGAGGGGGAGGTCATAGGTGATCACCTCTTGTCTTCTAACCATAGCGCCTACCTTCACCCACCACATGGGAGACTTTGAGCCTCGCTTCTGGGTCGGGTTAGCCAAATCTATTTCACACGGGATCATCTTCTTACCTAGTAATCCTAGTATGTGGGCTTCGGTGGCCTGGACCTAAACACTATTGGATCGGATATATGGCCTCAATCACTATACATCAATATACTCATCTGAACATATATTTTTCCTTTAAAATAATACCAGACATAACCAGCCATTACCATCAAAAGCAGGGTGTGGGTAACATATCCACAGGCCTCACATCTACTATAAGGAGTAAATTCCTTCAACGTAATGAGTGGAGAGTATATTGCTTTAAGGTGTTTAGTTAATGGATAAAACAATTCATATATTGTGTTTACCTGTTAAAGCAGCATATCTATGGTTAATGGACTAGTTACTGTTTATTGTAAAGCTTTTAAAATTGTTCTACATTTGCAAAAGGGAAGGATGACAGTGCAGGGAAAAAGAAAGGAAGGAAAGTTCAATTTGGTTTTGAAGGTTAGGTCAATTTTAATTTTTAATTTCATTTTTTTCTTATTATGGTTCTATCATTGTTTGAGAGTAGAAAGATTGTTTCTCAATATTGTATATATGTACAATAAATCTAGATTCACCTGATGGAACTTTCGCGAGATCTAATGGCAAAGCAGATACACCATTTTCTAAAGGTTAGGCTCTTACAAGCATTACACAATACCCATTTTTTTGGGTTTTCATCGAATAACTTTTTTCTGTTTCAATTTTTTTTCATTTTTGGTGCAAATATATTTTGCGATTGTGAAAAGGAAGCAAAGGTGGAAAAAGTGGAAAAGGCCAAACATCAAAAGTACCTCTTCCCTTGGAGCTCAGAGTTGAGCAAGGTTTGTTTTTCCATATTAGCTCAAAGATGAATTTTTAGTTCTAATATATCAGATGGACAGAAGGCTACATATATTGTTTCATATCAACTCTTAATTACTTACCTTTTCAGTTCTCTTTTCTGTGTTTTCTTATGTTCATCTTCCCCTCTTTATCTCATTATTATTTTGAAGAGTTTGTCTTTGCTGCTGCGTTTTTACCCTGTGCATGTGTGCTTTCTGTGCTTTGGGTCTAGTTGCTAGTGTCGACATGTGTGCTTCATGTCTTTGTGCTCATACTTTGTTTGTGTTGTGTTTACTTTGTCTGTGCGATTATGTTTGAGCCATGTGTCTCTTGGAAACATCTTCCCTACTTCCGAGTAGAGGTAAGGTCTATGCTCAGCCGCACACTCAACCTCACCAGACCTCACATATTGTGGGATTTTAATGGGTTTGTTGTTTTCTTTGCTCTCAATCATTTGTAGCTTTTACAGCAGGAATCTTTAATTTTGCTTCCTTCAACCTTTTCCAATTCTTGCAAATTCTCCATTTCTCTCCTACCAAACAACAAACTAATTCTACCATATTTTTCTACTCTTTTTCTCTCTCCATTCGTCTATCACTCTTTTGTCTCTTCCTTATCTCTTCCCTCAAACCCAACATAGGCTCAGTTACATCTGTGTGCAAATGCAATCTAAAAAAATAACTTTCTTGTGATGCCAATGTTCTCCCCTCCCCTTGTATATGGAAATTCACTCATAAAAGCATTGAACTTAACCCACATTAATGAATCTTGTGGATAGTTTTTACATTTTCCATTCTTTTTTATTAAAAAAATCATCTTTAAGCTCTTTATATATAAATATGCAGAAATTTCTGAGAATACTGATTGCCTGATGGACTGTGAAGCTGCTGAAATCTTAAAAGGAATCCAGGAGCAAATGGTTATACTGTCTGAAGATCCAACTATAAAGCTTCCTGTGTGGGTAGCATGTTATTTCTTTTACTCTTTTTTTTCAGTAGAAGATGATTTTTGCATTTTCTGTTATGTCTCCAATTGGTAAAAGCTTATTAAATCACATTCTTGTGACCATGCATTTCCCTACTTGATACATAGTCAAATACTCTGTGTGATGCACTGTTCTTTACATTGAAACAAATTTTTTTAACTTTCTTATTATCAATTTTACAACGATACTTCGTAGTGAGAATCAGTACTTTCCCCTAAGAGGCCCTAAGTGTTATGGTTTTAATTTTATTTGTGATTTTTTTTTCTTTGTTTATGTTTTTGGGCTGATAGATCATTTGACAAGGGACTGATGTATGCACTGCGACACCAAGTTTATGAGAACCCAGAGACTATTAAACAAGCACTTCAGTATCCTTTTATATATGTAATAAGACAAATGAATTCCGTACGAGAACATATTTTTTTCTTGTTCCAATAGCACCTAAAATGATTTGTGCCGTTAACTCAGACCAGACCTTTGAAGAAGCATGGTGTATGTGACAGCGAGGTATGTACGATATTAATAATTGAAATTCAGTTAGGTCCTGTTTGGTAAACCTTATGTGGTGGGTCCTACGTGGTAACAAAAATTACAAATGTTGCTGCAATGCAATGAGAATTTCCACTGGCGGTGAGGGGCCGCGGAGGTCAATCCCCCCCCCCCCCACCCCCCTGCAGCCGCCAAAAAACCATTAGCTTACCAAATGGAGAGCTAATGCTGATATGCACTTTCACTGACATGCTTTGCGTTGCAGATATGCATGATTGCCAACTTTCACATGGAATCTGCTGATGAAGTGTTTGCTCTCATCCCCTCTTTGAAGGTAAATTTATTGCACTTGACTTGTTGGATGAATATATGGTAACTTATTGAGCGGGCTTAAGGATCATATCGTTTTTCCACTTAGAGGAGCTCCGTGAGGGTAGAACTTGACTGAAGTGATTGAATAGATTAAATTGGGATCCACACATTTGAATTGGTCACATCATTCAAAACATTATTCAAATATTATTTCATTAAATTAAAGAAGATTATCTTAAAATGACGGTAGAAGCGCCATCATTTTATTCTATTTCAATTTTCATCTAAAATGTACCCGGAGTACCATCTTTACTATCGTCATTGCTTTCACTTGAAAAAACACTTGGTGTTTTGTATAAAATATGAGTTTTATAACCATAAAACATTCATTACCAAATGAGCACTCACGATGTATTATTTTTGCCTTCAAAATTTTTCAACATGAATTTTTTATGATTTGGTCGATTGAGTAGGTCTCTGAAAGTTTTTTTGTCGGGTCTGTCTGAATCTTTCTTGTCAGGCGTGATCTAAAATTTTCTTATCTTGTCAAAGTATAGCCTAAATCTTTCGAGTCAAGTTTGGTTTGATCGGATTAAAATAAGAATTACCCCGCAGCAGTAAGCACACAACTATGCAAGTGTGGAATTTGATGTTTTTTTTTGCTCTTTTCATAATGATTTCTTCTTATGCATATTAGGGTAAGAAGAAAAAGCTGGAAGAACCCCTAAAAGCAGTGTTGGAGGAATTAGCTAAGCTGAAGAACTCATCATAATTCATGAAGCCATATATTGCAGAGGTGAGATGCCATCTTTGCATGTCCCCTTCGTTTTCTTCTTCGTGCATAATCAATGGCCCAAAAAATATTCCATAGAATTAATATCTCTGCTATTGTGTTTGAGCCGGGGTCTCTTGCATACAACTTTTCTACGTTCTGAATAGGGGTAAGGTTTGCGTACACACATCCTCCAAAGACCCTTCATTTTCCCCATACCCTACCCTTTTGTGGGATTTTACTGGTTTTTTTGTTGTTGTATAAATAATGATCTCAACCTGTTTCTCCATGGATGATCATAAAAGATGACACTTTGTTTTCTCTTTTTTATGTGTGGATACAGGCAAGGATCAGGCGATTTGTGTCATGTTGTAACTACTGCTTGGGCGCTTAGGTAGTCGATGATGTCCATCGCTGACTTGTGAGCTATTTTGAATTCAAAGTGTTTATTCTACTTTTGCCCTTTCAACATTTGTGACAATTCTACATGTAGTTTTCACCATGACCCTCACTTTTGACAACTCTACTTGATTTTGCCTTGCCTAACCTTTGTTGACTTTATGAGGAATGATATCGAAATATTATCAAAAATACTCCATAGCATGTTTTCAAATTGCACAAATGAGAAGACCCATGAAGCAGTTGAGGTTTATAGCGCACAAATCAGTAAGATTGTGGTTGGTCAGACATCTTTGTGCTCTTTCGTAGCAGAGTTTCAATCACAGAGGCAAACTAAGGTTTGTTTGGTGTGTTGTCAAAGACAGGTTTGACGCAACTCGTAGAATTCCTCCTCTTGTGTTTCCGAGGTCCAATGTCTTTATTCATGTTCCAAAAGGTGAAAGCCTCACTCGGTTGCACTCAAACCGTTAAGAATACGAAGGACACCATTGTCAGAATCACTCGAATTGCCTCGAAAGTACCTTTTCCCAAATCGCCTAGTTGGGGCACATGCCCCCACACTGGCTCTTCCCCTGCTACGCCGAGGGCGTAAATCATCATGGTACCAAGTACCCTCTTAGGGGTTGTTTGATTTGATGAGGTGAGTGGAAGCTGATGTGGGCATGTGGGTGACAGAAAACTAGAATCCGAATAATTCGGAATGACCCAAAAACTGAAGAATCAAATGATAACCAAACCGAAACCGAACCGAATGTATTCAGATCTAATTTAGAACCGTATCTGATTGAACATGAACGGGTTAAACCCGAAATTGATCAGATCCGAAATCAATTAGGCCCTATATTGATTAAGTTCAAAATATATTAAACTCAAATCCCGTCAAATCTAATAGCTCATTAGTTGATGTCTTTCTAAGAAAAGTACATTTGAATTATAGGTACAATTGATTTCATGTAGTAAAATTTTATCACTCAAGCTTAGGTGATTGTCTATTTTTCATACAAAGTATATATGTGGTACAATTTATACTGACATGGTAACACATATTGATGGATATACTGGTCCATTATTGGTGATAGTTGTATTATACCCCTTTACATATAGGGAGGGGAGGCTACACACAAGGCCAACATTAGAAATTTTGATACCAAGGGATCTCATCTGAAACCAGTATAAATTCAAACCGATATAAACTCGAACTGGTTAAAATCCGAACCAATATATAACCAAACCGAAACCAAACCAAAACAAAAAAAATCAAACCAAATTAAATCCAAAATCAACCCAAACCGATTATAATATATATCTGAAAGAGACTCAAACTGAAATTATTTAAATCAAAACCGAATCGATTGATATGATTGTCAGGTCTAATAAGCTCCCACAACGAAGTCCTCAAGAATATACCAATATTTGATGTGGCATCATGGAGCAAGGTATGGTTCAATCAAGAAAGTTGGCTCTTTCTATAAAAAAGAATTTGTCATACTCTTTCCTGGTTTAAGAACCAGAACCAACCCGACATATAGCGAATCACAAGTTCGGGTCTCGTTGGGAGTGCTCCGCGGTCACCTTTGGAGGGGAAAAACCCGTGCACTTCTAGCTATCCGGGTCACGGTCATCTACCAAAATCTTGAATCTTTAGTTCAGTACAACACACTGCATCAAGTCTAGGGCAGAAGACAAACATGCATAGTGTTTGGATTCTACAATAATACAATAATTTACATGCTGGAATTTAGCTTTTGTTCATCCCAAATCACAAATCATAATCTATAGTTCGATTCAATACCCAATCAGACAAACATCATCTTGTACAACCAGACCTGGAACTGACTTCTAATCTTGTACTAATCTCTGTGCAGTATCTTTCATGTTTTAGGAGCTATACCAAGTTTCCAATCTCCGCTAGAAAAATCCATAGGTCATAAAAGATAACCAGAAATACCCAAAAGTCATCATTATGGCTATAACCCACCTGCTTTGTGACCTCGAACCTGAAGATTTTGCATCGCTGACCCCAACAAGGAACCTACACTCACCGATTGAAGGGTCCAAGAAAGTGACCATCCCAAGCCCATCGAAATCACAGCTTCGCGGATTCTGCTTTTGCAGCTGATAATAACTGTTAAACGCGTAAGATATGTTTACCTTTTTTGCCCAATGCCATTACACGACCCACCATTGTCTAGGGTCGTGCAATCGGCAAAGCTACAGGCAGTCCTGAAGTGGTTATCTGCAGCTGAAAGATCTCTATCAGGTTTCACAATGCACCATCTTGATGGAAGATAATTTACTTCTTTGGCGTTCTTCAAAAGACCGTTGCCCAGGTCCAGTCTATACTTTGCTTGCCCATCGAAAGAGAATATTCCCCAATGTCTCTCGAAGTTTCCAGGAAGAATGCTTTTCCCGTCTTCATCGAGGAGGCTAAAAAGGTAAACGTCCATAGGAGGGACCCCAGGCCTCAGAGGGGTCCCCTGGTTTCTAAGGACACGGTTCACTAGTCCTTGGTTGAAAGCTCTTGCGGCGGTTAGGTTGGCACTGAGGGCTCCTTCAGTGGGCCAACCCACCTCCCCTATGACTATGGGCATTTGGGCATACCCGATTCTGGAGAGGGCTGATACTAAAGTGTCAAAGTTCCCATCAAAGGCATTGTAATAGATGTTTGGGCCGTCCACTACTTGATGGGTTGTCCCTTCAAAGAACGCATAGTCTTGAGGGAAGTCGGAGTTTCCGTAGAGGCTGAGGAATGGGTATATGTTGACGATGAATGGCGAACCTATAGAGTTGAGGAAGGAAACGAGTTGGGTCATTATTTGGGTCAATTCGGGTCGGAAGCCACCTTGTGATGGCAAGGAGGGAGACTCATAGGCATCTGCGTTGCACGGTACCACCAGCTTTATGGTCCCTGCAAGATTTCTTTTGACTAAAGATTGTTGTATGTTTGTCATAGCCGGGAGAACATCGGACTGGTACTGACCAGAATAACTGGCGAGGAAAGGTTCGTTCCCAACCGCAACATACCTGTTACCAAATTTTATTTGTCAGTGCCAATGGGAAAAAAATATATAAATAAAAGGTATAAAACTGCAAAACAGTAATATTAGAAGCCAAGTTTTCATAATTTTATAATCTTCATGTTTATCACCACCATGTAATCCATATTGACTCATCCTAATGATCATGCACATCAAACTGCATGAAGATTTCCACTGAGTTGGCAATCACCTTCAATTTTAAAATCAAGTTTATCCTATAAATCACAAGAAAGTGAATTCTTTTCTTCATAATCATGATAGAACTGTGAAGTTTATCATTATAATTGAGAGTCTCATTTGAAAAATAAGCAAATTTTAATTATGTCTAGTGTTTTATACAAAAATAGTATTGCTGAATGTTCAAAGCATCTAATGTTCAAAACAAGTCTTAGTTATATGACTTATATCTAATGGTATTACTAGTATCCTGAACAAGTTATATATGTTAAATTTTTGGTTAAACAAACAAATAATTAAATTTAGAAATGCAGGGATTTGAAGCTTGAAATTCATAACTTGAGAGCTTAAACCTCAATTAAGGGCATGTTTGATAACAGATATTTGCGTTAGTGTTTTGGATAAAAATTTAAAGGTGCAAAATACTTTAAAAAGGCTATTGCTAAAACAGGTAGAAATGTCTCTCTCAGACCCAAGATCAAACAGGTGGTAGGCAACGAACAGAGAAATACATACTTGATATCAACGCCACCTTTAACCATGTATCTGGTCAGATTCTGGGAAACCCACAGATCCGCGGAGGACGGAGAAGACGCAACGGTTGCCAGCATTTCGTTTGGGATTCCGACCATGACTTCAATCCCGCTGCCCATCAACGCCGCGAGCACATCCGGATCCGCCTCGAACAGCTTCACCTTCCGTATCCCGTTGCCCCTGACCAGATCCACCACCGTGGCCGGCGACATCTTGTGGAGGGAGCGGGTGCCCCAGTTCACTCCGATTTCCGACTCCGCCGGAGCAGCGGCGAGCAGCACCGCCGCGGCGCACAGGAGAACGGCAAAGCTTCCGTGTTTGCCACCCATTTTGAACAGGAGAGGACCCAGAAGCTTCTTGGGGAGGGAGGAATTGCGGGATGGCTCATCCAAATCGAAGCTCCTCTTTATTGAATCGGCAAGAGAAGAACAGATAGAGAGAAGCTGAGATTTTGTTGAGCCCAGGAAGAAGAAAGGAGGAGTAGTAGTAGTAGTTCAGTAGTTATGGCAAACTGCAACACGGAAATGGCTATTTTGACCCTAGAGGGAAGCTAGGCACCTTCCTCACGTACTACTTTCTACTTACTACGGAGTAGTTCCTTGTTCTCATAAATAAAGCTCTCTTTTAAGTCCAATTTTGACTTTTTTCAATTAAAATTATAAATTCACACTCCTTTTTCTCTTTAATAAAGTTTCTCCTCTCCCCTTGCACTTCTTTGCAAAACCCATCGCTGATGCGTTTGAAGCTTTGAACCCAAAACTGAAATCATCACTCTTCTTTCAATTGTTTGTCCAACTGGTGAAACCCAAATTCGAAATCAGTAACCTTCATGGATGAGTTTTAAGGATTATTTTCTTTGTAATTTCTTAAGACTAACCAATACAGCTCATTCATAAAGGTTATTGGTTTTGATTCTAAATTCCACCCGGAAGACTAACAATTGAGAGAGGAGTGATCATTTCGATTTTATGTTTAGAGCTTCAAACTTAGCGACGAGTTTGAGAAAGAGTACGAGAAGAGGGAGGAAGCTTAATTGAAGAGAGAGAGATAAGTGTGAATATACAATTTTATCTATGTTCTTAACAAAAACGTTAACAAAAGATCATTCATGAAAAATGATATAATAATTGGGAACTAAATTAGTGATATTTGATATGTAGGGACTAAATATGTAAAACGAGCTATAACTTGGGACCTTTTATGGAATTTACTCTATATTATTTTATCAAACAACTAACAAAAATGGGTAAAGAAAATTATTAAAATGTGACCATGTGAATAGTGACTTAAAAGATTATTTAGGATGGAGGGATAAATATTTTATGCTATTTCAGGCCTAAAAATATGAATTATTTATAAAGTTACCCTTTTATTTAAAAATTGGGTAGTTGCGTATATCTCGTAAAAAGTGATCAACGATATATAATTTGTTATGTTTAGACTTTTGTGTAAAACGTTATGACTAAAATAGATGTTAGAGTTCAATAAATAAATATAAATATTTTATAATATAATAATATAATAATATAATAATATAATAATATAATAATATAATAATATTAATTTCCTAAATCCTAATACTATCCTACGTACCAAGAAACCCCAAATCCCATTAGTATTCTCTCTCTCTCTCTCTCTCTCTCTCTCTCTCTCTCTCTCTCTATATATATATATATATATATATATATATATATATATATATATATATAGACACACACATGTGTGTGTGTGGTCCCCCTGTAAAGATGGTCACTGCGTAGATTGGCGAACCACACCACCCGAGTTTGATCCCCAGAAGGGCCAACTTTGGAGGAATTTTAAGGGAGTTGAGCCTACTGGTTATGGAGTAGCAGAAATGATGGGTGACCCCCTGGGAAGTGTTTGCAGACTTAGAGCATTGGGCTTTAGATTGGGCTTTTTATAGTGGGATATCTGCCTCGGGTGTTTAACGTTTCCCAGGGTGGTCACGAGGTTAACGGGTATCAGCCCCCCTGCTTGTAACCGACCATTCCAAAACAACAAAAAAAGTAATATATCTATGTATGTATATATATCGGTGGAGTTCTAGTGACATCGAAGTATGGTGACAATTCGGTGCCACTGTCACTTTGGGGTACTTCCAGTGCTGCATTCGTAAAATTGATGGTCCTACCCCTCTAACCCACCCCCTAAACCCTCCACCCTACCCCCGCCCCTGCACCCCTACCCCAACCCCGCCGTAAACCCGCTATTATGCATTGCATAATAGACACACACACACACATGACCGGTAGTCTTTTCTTTAAAACTATTTTGTGTTTCAGAATTCAAGAACATTTTGATATTGTTCAAAACCTAAATCATTATTCAATCACAATCTATGCCTACATCGTAATCTGCTTGACATGAAGAATCAAATCAAAGCTCAAGTATTCCTTTTCATCACCAAGAATAAGAGACAAAACAATTTCATTGATCATTTCAACAATTTCAAGTGTGGGTGCTGATAACGCTTTGTCCATAAAGAAAGCATAGTCTTTCATATTTTTAATAAGTCTGATTATGTGAATTTCACTATATTCTTAAGCGGAGAACTCGAGTTAAGAATAAAAAATTATAGTGGAATTCCACTATACTCTATATAAAAGTATAAATTTAACATTTGTTATGATTTTATTTTTCATTTTTGATATCTAAAATGATGGGTTTTTTAATTAATTTTTACACTAATATTTGTATAAATTAAGTTAAAGTATTTTTATGGAACGGGTGTGTTATTAAGTGTCGTATGGGATGTTCGTATCATTTTCATCGCAAGTGCTCATATTTTCAACATAACCGACGAAATTTGAAGAACTAGTTTTTTTGAGTAAATTTCATAATTGATCCTTTATAACAGTGTGGTTTCTATATTTAGTCCTTTATTATCAAATATTATTCATGTAGTCTTTCTTTTATAGGTACTTTTTCACAAATGGTCCTTTTTCTAATCTTCTGTCAGGTTGGTGTTAATTTGATGACTAAAAGTATAATTTGACATCAACCTTGTATCAGTTCATGTATTCTGATATTGGTTAGACGAATAACATAAACATAATGACTCTTATTCTAATCTAAGATTACGACGAAAGACCACATCTGTAGACTATGGTTGTAGTAGAAAAAAGTTGTAATTCAGAAACGACGGATCATGAACGACCTTTATAATTGTGTATGACAAGAAAGATACATTATTATTGTAAAATTATATTTTTAGTCTTCAAATGAACACCAACGTGACAAAAGATTAAAAAAAAGACTATATGTGGAAAGATACACGTAAAAAAAGGAGCACTGAGGTAATATTTGATAATAGAGAACTAAATAGGAAAAATCTCTGTTATAAAAGAGCAATTATAAAATTTATTCTTTTTTAATAAAGAATTTGGGGATAGAAAATGAACCTTTGGACATAAGGGAAAATGAATCGGGACAGAAAATCTCCAGTGGCACTAGAACCGAACCGTTTTTTAAAACCTGCTTTAACGGTTTTGGACATAAGGGAAAGATCGAACGCGGTCGGAAAAAAAAGTTTAAAAATGGATCAGGCATAGGTTGATCTATTTTAATGATTAACGCCCGCTTAATCCGTTCTCTCTTTTTCATTTTATTCTTCTTTTTTGTGTGAAAGATCATTTTAATTTATTCTTTTTTCAAGGTTAATTTATTCTTCTTGATAAGGCAAGAATTCACACTATTGTCTCCTCCCTTTTTTCTCTCTTTTTTTTTCTTCTCTTGAAAGACTATTTTAATTTATTCTTTGATAATGCAAGAGTGCACATTTGTTACTCTGTATATATATCCTCCCTAAATGTTTAACACATTTCAAAAAACGAGCTAAAGTATTAAGTTTTTTCAATTCATTTTGTTTAAATATTGGTATAGAAATAAAAAAAATTTTAAAAATAAATGATGATAGTTCTAAACAGAATTTTTTTTTGAGATGGAACTAGGGAGTGTTTATATATATATATATATATATATATATATATATAGTTCTCAATCCTAAGATATTACATAAATAGTCTTGAAGTTTTAAAAATTATTTCATAGATGATCCTTCAAGGACTATTGTGAAATACGGAGTAAGATTTTTTCATATGTTTGGCCAAAAAGACTATTTATGGAATAACTTTAAAAATCAAGGACCATTTATATAATATTCTAGAGTTAGGAACTAAATATGTAAAAAAGTACTCTCTCCGTCCCTAAATAAATTTCCCTTTTCGTTTTTTCTTTGTCCCCAAATAAACTCCTCTTTTCCCTTAAAAACCCATTTTACCCCTTACTTTTTCATACCCTACCTATCACATCATACATTTTTACTAATAATCTACATATCAAATCTTACTTTTACACATCACATCAAGAGTATTTTTGGAAAGTCAACACAAAAATATCCCTCCCTTAAATCCTCAAAAAGTCAAAAAGGAAAGTGTATTTAGGAACGAAGGAAGTATGTATTTAAGGCAATTTATAAAATTTACTTATAGGATCGAAAATAAAGGCCTAGCTAGTTGGAGAATTACTTTTTTAATTATGGTCAACAATTTTTGTTTCTTTTAATTGGGCACTATGTAATTAATTTTCCAATATTCCTTTCAACCTAAAATAAAAGGCAACCGCTATCAATTGAGCCATATTACGTACTCCGTACATTTCTTTTCTTTAGGTATTTTCATCCAAAATTTTACTAGATAATATAGAATGTCATCTCTAATTTTTAAAAACTTTTAATATACTATTTAATAAATAAATTTTACTTTTTTACGTTTACACTAATATTTAAATAAATTAAATCAACTATCCGTCCCTAAAATCTTCTGCTCTTTCATGTTTTACTTGTCTCCAAAACCTTTTTTTTTGCCATTAAAGGAAATAAATATCCTTGTTTTTACTAAATCTATCATAACCAATCACGACGTCGTTCTATGCCATATTCTTATATTTTCCAAACTTACCTCGTATCAATTGCCGGCATACGTCTACAATTTTCCTTTCTCAAAATCGAAGAAAGATACTCCCTCCGTCCTAAAAAGTCTTTTCTGTTTCATTTTTTGCGCATCCCATAAAACACTTCTACCGACATTTAAAATGCCCAAAATTTACAACATTTCTTGTTTATTGTGGGTAGAAGTTATTTTGAAAGTTTTTTTGGCATTCAAGGCGGGATATAAGTGTTTTATGGGATGCGCAAAAAATGAAACAGGAAAGACTTTTTGGGACGGAGAGAGTAAGATTTTAGGGACGGAAGAAATGCTACTTTCATCATAGAGCATTTTTTTAGTTTTAACTTTTTACCGTCAAAATTGATAGAATTTGATTGTTAATTAAATGAACTTTATATTAAATATTGATACAAGAATAATTTTATTAGATTTATCTTGTAAGGTA